ATAAATAACTAATTGTGCTCTCTATTTTAAATTTAATATAATTATTTTGAAATATATTATTAATTATTATAAAAATTATTCATATGCAAATAAAATAAATTTTTTTTTATACAAAATATACCTGAATGGATAGAAAAATTTGCTAACTAATATTGTAATAATTTTCTTTTTTATCGAACTCAATAAGATTTATAAAAAAAAAAAAATAATAATAATACAGTCTTTTATGTCATGACTCAAAACTTGTCAACCCACTCTATAGATAATTTTTTTATAGATCTAATATTGTATATATATATAATATTTTTATTATGAAACGTTATAAAACATTTATTACGTTAAGAAAAAAAAATGAGTAATTGAACGTTAAATTGAGATCCTACTATCAAGTAATTATAAGTTGTTAAGACTAATTAACAAACATTCGATAACCGATGATTAATGGAATTATCTAATTTTCTATCCAATTGTTCTTTATCTATACATTCTATCTATCTCTAACTTTTAAAGGTCACGAATAAAAATGTCAATGTTAATGTAAAATTATATTTTCTAAGAATTTAGAATAAATTTGATCGACTTTTTTTTTTTCTTTCCAAATGACAGAACTCTATAAAGAATTTGTATATATTTTATTATATTATAAATATGCAAAATAAATAAATATTTATTTACATTTAAATTACGATAATTCTAAGAATAATTTCCATCCTGAATTTTATTTTAATTAAGAATGTATATCATCTTGTGCGATTTCGGAAACTTACATATTTATCTATTTACCTACGTATGCAACATACGCATCTATGAGTAATACATACTTACGTATTTAGGTACGTACATATACATGTATATATATATATATATATATATATATATATATATATATATATATACGTATTTATACATATACTTGGATATCTATGTACAGTATCGAACAAAAGTATTAACATAAATTACATTTTTTTATTCATATTTTCTTTATTAAATCTATCCCTTGATTTTAAAATTGAAATATATGGTAAAATAATAAATAAAAATATGCTACAACAAACACAAATGATTATAATTTTGTCACCTTTGATGTGACATATGAGTTCAAAAAGTAATTGATATCAAATTAAATAAAAAACTTGTGCAACTCATTCATATACTGAAAAAAAAAAAAAAAAATTATCTAGAGATATAATTAAAAAAGAAATGAATTTTTGTACAAATTAACATAAGACGCTAAGGTGGAAAATTACTTACAAAATAATACTTTTGTTCAGCACTGTATGTACGTATGTATGTACTAATGTATGTATAAATGTTACCACGTGTATACATCGATTAGAGAAACACACGACGATGACGTTCGTATTAGACGTAATATCATCCAATCTTATTGTTAGCAGTGTTATCTTCAAAAAGGTAAAAACACACACTTATATTTCCTTAACGATATTTCCAACAAATTATTTATTACACACAAAAAAAACATGACGTCTGTAAATTTGAAATAATAAAAAAAGAAAAATATACCCCTTCAAGAGAGAAAAGATTCTAACGAGATTGTTACGCGTTTGAAATTAACTTTGTCCTACGAATAAAACATGCATATCTATCTTACGTTTATAGAACAGCAATAAAACTCGTATAAATAGAATTATATAATAAAGACGAGCACAAATGGCCCGTTTACTGGTCCTACGCCGATCTGCATGCATAGATACATTTATATTTCGTAATTCGACTAATATTTTCTCGCTAAATTGTATTTTCACAAATTTGGATTTTCTAATATATTTCAAAGTATTCAAATATAAATTTAACACTGACATTAATATATTCTTACATCCGATAGATATTTCTTAATGCTATAAACAAATAAAAAATAAGTTATCAATGCACAATACATGAAATATGATTAGAAATTTAAATTTTTTCATTTTATCTTATGTCAAAGATAATCACAGGGTGTAATCTGGAAATTAAATAAAGTTTAAATATTTAAATTAATTATTAAACCATATTTAAACTACAAATAATCAAATACAAATTTATATTAACACAACCAACTAAAATTTCATATCTGTAATAAAAAAAATACAATATTTTAATTATGTTAACAAACAAATATTAATTTTATATTTTCTCTTTTACTTTACTTAGTAAAATGATTTTGAAGCAAGCCTATATACGTCATACTATTTACAAGCATTTGATTCATCGTTAAATTAATTATTTCATTTCAATTAATATTTTAATATATTTTTATATTAAATATTATTATATTAAATTATTTAATTAAATTTAATAATATATTTAAATATTATTATATTTAAATTAATTATTAAACCATATTTAAACTACAAATAATCAAATATAAATTTATATTAACACAACCAACCAAAATTTCATATCTTTAACCATAAAATACAATATTTTAATTATGTTAACAAACAAATATTAATTTTATATTTTCTCTTTTACTTTACTTAGTAAAATGACTTTGAAGAAAGCCTGTATACGTCATACTATTTACAAGTATTTGATTCATCGTTAAATTAATTAAGGACAAGGTAAAACATGTTTCATACCCATAATCATATATATATATATATGATTGTCCATCGTAGAGAAACCATGAAGAGACATGCTTGTTAACGAAGAAAAAAAAAGAAAGATAAAGACAGATGAAAAAGAAAAAGTAAGATAGAAAGAAAGAAATGTTCTGTGAGGATAAAAGCGAATCGTTTCGTGCGTAAATCGTTTGGAACGAAGGCCATTATATGCCATTAAAAACGTCACAACTCAGCCACAAATACGAGACTCGGTTGACGTCAATTTTTCGAAAGAAAAGATCGACACTCGTCCAATAAATCATATGCTACGATTTCATTAAACATTTAAATATAACAATTAATTGATGTACACCTAACAATTAGTAGCAGCAATGAGTCATTCGAAAAACAAAAACACGAATATGTGCTGATAATTTCAAAGCGAACTATATATATGTAATATAAAACAACAAAGAGCATTTATTTTTTAACACTAGATATATCACCATTTTTAGTATACCTATTTCTACCACACTAGTCAAAATGACTGGTGTATACAAAAAATGCTTTATGAGGCTTCCAGTCTTTATTTACTCTTAAAAAATAACAAAAAATGTTTAACAATAATAATTTTAATAGATAAATGGATTTACAGATATTTTTAAATAACAAAACGGTTAATTATTTACAAAACTCAAATGTTACATAAAGTAGAAATTTTGAATTAAAATGGTCCAACCAGTCAAAATTACAGGTCTGGTATATATCTAGTGTTAATATAAATAATTGTAATCCACAAACAAAATCAATTGTTCTACAATATTTTTTATTTAGTTCACTTTTTTAATTGTCAGCACAATTATATCTCAATCGTCTTGTACAAATTCAAATATTTAAACGATCGATATAATATCGAAGTAAGAATCGAGATATCGCGTTACCAATTTCATCGAACAATTAGATTGAGATAGATAAAAAAAAAAATAAGAAAAAAAAAAGGAAAGCATTGACGTTTAACATTGACGTAGTTTTGCACCTCGTGGAAGATTTACGATCGATAAGAGAGAACACGAATAAGAGATAACAAGATTTACCAACCGTTTGCATCTCTTGCAATTGTGTTTTTGCATTTTCATGATGACGCGTATTGTTAGCGACGTTCGACGAACTCGTTAAATGGCCCCCGTAGCGACGTTGAGAAGTTGGCTACGGAGTGAAGTTTACAACACCGTGAACTTAGCCTAAGATATATATCTCTATATACATTACACATACACATACTACATCCATATATGCATTTACATTGGTTTATATTCTCCCTGGTAAGATCGATTTCTCTAACATAAATGCACGCGCGCGCGCGCGCGCATGAGTGTGTGTATGATTTAATATAATTTACAGAGTTTAAACGTAAGAAAGAAAAAAAAAGGAAAAAGATATAATAAAATAAATAAGTACCTATTATAACTATAATCGTAAAGATCAACGAATCCCAAAAGTCCTTGAAATATATTGACTTTAACTCCCACGAAATATGTTAGGTTATGGAAACGTAAAAATACTACTCGTTAAAAAGAGAAGAGACAAAAAAAGAAAAGAAGTAATAGAACAACGGGGCTAAAAGAAAGAATGTAAATAATCGGATAGTGACGTGCGAAGAAGCACGTGTGCGAAGCTATTTGCTATTCAATTATACGAATGAACAATTACCGAGAGAAAGGGAAGAAGACATATACATACATATATATGACTAACATAAGAAGAGGAAGAAAAGAAGGAAGAATAAGCTTAAAAAAAGAAACAGTAGCAGCAGAGCAATAATAATAATAGTAGCAGTAGTAGTAGTAGTAGTAGTAGTAGTAGTAGTAGTAGTAGTAGTAGTAGTAAGGTAGTAGCAGGTAGTAAGTAATGTAAAAGAACAAGAATACGAATAAGAAAAAAGGATGATGAAGAACAGCGGTGGTGGCACGTACAACGTACGTTGACGTCAATCGTCAAAGATAACGTATTATACGCGTGAACGGGACGATGCCTCGAGAAGAAATGAAGTGGGAGGGAGGATGCGCGGTAAGAAGAAGTGGTGGTACGGCGGCGACGTCGACGATAAAGGAGGGGGGAAAATAGAAAGAGAAAGAAAAGGAGAAGGAAGAAGAAGAAGAGTATGAGGAGTGGGGAAAACGCGTCGGCGGCATCGCTCGCTAAGAATGGCCGGGGCTTCGCGGGCGCGTACAGTGAAGTACACAACCATCCATACATCATACATACGTACATATAAGATATCTATATGCACATAGTATGTGTGTTGGATGAAGCGTAGGGGTAGAAGAAGAGGAAGACAAAGAGAGAAGAGAAGGAGAGAAGGGTGACGAGTAAGTGGAGGTGGTGGTAGTGGTGAGGAGGTGGTTGGTTGATAGTGTAGTGGTGAGGAAAGGGGTAGCGGGCGTGAAAACTGTCGAGTGGGAGCGCCGAGAGCAGAGGGGTGGCAATATGGCTGCCGGTCAGTCGGTATCGAACCGCCGTGCCGTCACGAGAGTAACGCGGACCGCGTGCGGTCACGGCACATCTCCGTGACCGACGAAGAGAATTCTAAGAGAGAAAGAGAGAGGAGAGAGAGAGAGAGGAAAAAAATAAAAGAAAGAGTGTTAAAGAAAGAAAAAGAAGAGAATAGGGATATCTAAAAAGATAAAGATATATCAAAGAGGGCGACGTCTCTACCGATGGCACTGTTCTCCCGGTGCGACGTACCCCTCGAGGTCGACGATACCAACGTCTATTACAATACTTATCATCCTCATCCTAAAACAATTAACGACGTAAATCCTCATAGACTTGGATGGTCTCATTGACCGGCTTCTAAAGTAAGTTTTCTTTTTCTTTTTCGTTTTCTTTCGTACGGACGTATTATTTTATTAACGTTGATCTGATGAGATTAGTTCACTTTATCTTCTCTCTCTCTTTTTTTTTTAAATGTAATTTGTGATATTAAATTGTATATTAAATTTACTGCTGCTGATTCTTCTTCTTCTTCTTCTTCTTCTTCTTCTTCTTCTTCTTCTTCTTCTTCTTCTTCTTCTTCTTCTATCTTTCTTTTATTTGAAATACTTACAAAAAATATTACTTTTTCTCCCTCACATTCTCGGCGATATATATCGTTATTGAAGACCGCCGGACGTTTATCGATCGGCATAGGTCGATAGATACGTACGAGGGGTAGTCCTCGATCCATGACGTCACTCACGAATACTTGCCGTACTTGTTGCGGAGAGAGACACAACGTCTATCCGGCAAAGAGGAGAGCGCCGACCTTTCCACTCTCTTTCGTCCTAAAACACCAAAGACAAGGACGACAAAGAGGAAGGTACGGAAAGGGAAGGAGAGAAAGGGGTGGTCTCTCTTCTTCGATCTTTCTTTATTCCTTGCATCCCATGCACTCTCCTATTGTGTCTAGTATCTTAAATAATTTTCTTTTCTTTTTTATTATACATAGATGCAGCAATATTTTTTATACAATACTGGGTTGCCCTATAAATTCGTACGAGTTTTATTTTAGTTTTAAATATTACTTCTCTTTTTACATTTTAAATCATTTTTAAATCGTTACAAATAATATTTTAATCATTTTATTATATTCTATATGCAATATGATGATTTAGTTTTAATTAATTATATTCTTGAAAGAGAATTTGTTGTTTTTTTTTTAAGCAACACGATTAAGAAACCCCACGCACGAACGTATTGGCTAGAATATATATATATTTTATATTTCATGTAACATATCGATTTATTTTTAATTAATTATCGTTATTCCGATCCCTCCCACTACCACCCTGTTTCTTTCCCCCCTTCCTCTTGTATTTATACAACTCAATCGTAAATGATACGAGATAATATTATATACGAAAAATAATTCTATATTCTCCGGGTTTTTTTTTTTTTGCAACCTCGACAGTTGATTTTACTTACTTGCTGGGTGTAAATACGTCAAAGATCCGTCCCCTGTTTGTCATCACGTAACTTCGAGTTAACGTGAGAAGATAGATATGCAGTACTTACGTGAGAAGTAATAAAAGTGGGGGTGTCCCGGGATGAGAGAAAAAGAAATAGAAAAGGAGAGAGAGATAGAGAAAGAAACCCAAACGACAAACGCGGTTTTATATATCTCCCGGCTATCCGTGTTGTAAAAGTTCGTAGAAGAATATGTCTAGTCCATGAGATACTTATCTTCTCGACGTTTCTTCATTTTTCTTTTTTTTTTTTACTTCCATTTCCATTTTTTTTTTTTTTTGAATCACTTTCTCGACATAGATACATCCTTTTCCTCTACTTCAAGTTTTAAGATTCTTCTTCTTCTTCGTGCCAGTTCTTACTTGTACGTTTATGATCACCTTCCATTCTCATCTCGTTTGAATTCTTTTTTCCCTTCTTTTTTTTTTCTTCGCGTTCTCATTCACAATGATCAGTTTTGAAAAGACTTCCACCATCGATGTCATCTAACTGTAATGAGAAAGATAAAGAGTTTTTTTACATACCGTTCCAGAGTTTGAGAAATTTTTTAATGAATTGAAAGTTTCTTTATTTCAATGCATTTCTGTTTTATGAATGATACTTTTTTTTGTGTTCTATGATATCTTTGTTGATTTAATGTAATGAAAATTTAATGATTCATTTTGGTAATTAGTCTTGTTTTTTTTGTCTATGTTTTAGATCGCTAAGGAATAAAGGCTTAGGATTGACAGTATCCAAAATATTGTTCACTTGTAAACGGTAGAAAAATATTTGATAAAAATGGATACCGGAACTAGCCAAGGTAAAAAGCAAATCCGTGTGGGTTTCTATGACATAGAAGGAACTATCGGTAAAGGAAACTTTGCCGTAGTAAAATTAGCTAGGCATAGAATCACCAAAACAGAGGTACATATACTAGTTCCTATTATTTTTTATAATTGTTATATATAAATTATGCTATAATTTGTTTTCTTTTTTTATTTTAGGTTGCTATCAAGATAATCGATAAGACTCAACTAGATCCTACTAATCTAGAAAAAGTTTATAGGGAAGTTGAAATTATGAAACAACTAGAACATCCCCATATTGTTAAATTATATCAAGTTATGGAAACTAAAAATATGATATATATGGTAAGAACAAATAGAAAATATATTCTATAATATAATATGTCTTTAAGCCAATGCGTTTAATAAAATATAAAAACATATTTTCTATTTATTTAGGTATGCGAATACGCAAGTAAAGGAGAAATATTCGATTACATAGCACAATATGGAAGGATGGGTGAACCAAGAGCACGGGCAACGTTTGCCCAAATCCTATCTGCAGTTGAATATTGCCATGCGACAGGCATAGCTCACAGAGATTTGAAGGCTGAAAATTTGCTCCTAGATGCTCAAATGAACGTTAAGATTGCTGATTTTGGTTTTAGCAATAGATTCGCACCTGGAGAGCGATTGAGTACATGGTGTGGAAGCCCTCCTTACGCTGCTCCAGAAGTATTTAGAGGAAAACATTACGCTGGTCCAGAAATTGATGTTTGGGTATATATCTTCTTCTTCTACTTCTTGTTATCTAAAACAAAAAAATTATATATGTATCAGATAATGTTTACCATAAAAGAAAAAAAATATATATATACATGTATGTTTTTTAATAATTTTACAGAGCTTAGGCGTCGTGTTATATGTATTAGTATGTGGTGCACTGCCCTTTGATGGATCTACACTTCAATCTTTAAGAGATCGCGTGTTAAGCGGTAGATTTCGTATTCCATATTTCATGAGTACAGGTACATTATTATATTATATCACGTGTACTTCAATTACTTACTATATTTTATTTTTTTTTTTTTTTTTTTTTTAGTCGATTATAATCACGATTTATATATGTAATATTTTTTCCTTTTTATTCTTTCATAGATTGCGAGAGTCTCATACGTAAAATGTTAGTTTTGGAACCTGCAAAACGATACACAATCCCACAAATAAAAAGGCATCGTTGGATGGCAGGTTCAGCAGATACTGTTTGTTCAGCTATTATAACTAGATCGTCACCATCTATTCAAGAACCTAACGAACAAATACTTCGACTTATGCATAGTTTAGGCATAGATATTACACGAACTAGACAGGTAAAATTCTCCAAAGATACAATTAATAAAATATTATATTATTATCATTTATTATTATTAATAATATTATTTTTCTTTATCTCAACAGTCATTAGGAAACAGCAGTTATGATCATCACGCTGCTATTTATTTCTTATTACTTGAAAGATTGAAGCAACATCGTGTCACCAGTACGACGAATAATATTTGCTGGCCCACGGTTGCTAGATCAAAAGAAGATAAATTCAAGTCAAGGTATATTTTTAATTTTTTCTTTGCTTGATTTAAAAAAAAAACAAAGATATTAGTTTGTTTTCAATGCTGCTATTAGATAAAGAGAAAGAGAAAGAGAGAGAGAAAGAGGTCTACTTCCAATCCTGCCAGTCTCAAGAAAATCGTATATAAAAAATAGTACCCTATGTTTAATCCTCTAATTTTTATTTCCAGCTATAGCTTAGTGGGACGTTGATCTTTATTGGCGGGTCGTGCAGAAAATTGGAGAGATTTTGTCACGACAGGTTGGATTGGAAGCGCATTGCTGTCACTTTGTTTTTGGTAACTTTCTTTCTTTCATTTTTCTTGCTTTTCTGTTCTGTTATTTTGCTTATATTATTTTTAAACAACGCCATGGATTACGTTTATTATTCTTTTTCTTTATCATTCTTATTTATTATTATTATTATTATTATTATTATCATTTGAAATTAATATATATTTTAATTTCGTTCGAATTTCTTTTAAGTTTCATTAATTATTTTTTATTTCAAATTTAACATGCGTCTGTAACTACGAAGATTAATATGTTGATGATGTATTATAATATTAATGACATGATAATGATATCTTTTTCATTTATATGCTGTAGTGGTATAAGAAGAAGATTATTACGTAAGCCTGTGTCAATGAATTTATACGAGGGATCAAAAAAATCTGGAAAATTTTCTAATAACTTTAAATATAACAGATCAATATCCATGCTTTGTTTTAGAACAAGAGACGAGGTAAGCAGGGGAGGTAAACGCTTCAGTTCAACGAGCTCTTCGACCGATGAAGGTTGTTGCAGTGCAGAAGGTGATTTAGAAGAAGGACCAAGTGGCGACGAGTTGAGGGAAGCGCAAATTAAATTAGAAGAGCACAGGCTTGGCCTAGACCATGACATCAGCCAACGAATCGACAGTCAAATTGTCAATCGAAGATTAAGCGATTACCAGCAACATTTTGATAGTCCACTTATGGATCCTATTGATCCTCCTAGTCGAACGACATTATTTCTTGCTGGTGGTAGCGGCAGCTCATCGTCCGATCTTTTCGAATCTAGTTTTGATTCCGGTTGCCCACCAGATTATACAGGAGCAAACTGTTTTACTAGTAGTTTACCTTCTTGTACTCCGCCACCACCTAAAAGTCCCTCTCCAATAACTGGTAGAATATCCAGAGCCTCCCAAGGACGCAGAGCATCAGATGGTGGACCAAGATTACTTTTCTGTCAACAAGGAGGCGGTGATAGACCTACTACAAGGCAACGAAGTATTCAAGGTAAGTTTATTGTTCTTATTGTTCATATTGTTTTCCTATTTTTACATAATTTTTAATATTACCATCTTAATATAACCATTCTATTTTATAAATATTATTACAGATTCTGGTAAAGCTAAAGGACATTTAGATCTTGTTCATTTGAGACCACCATCGACACCACCTCAAAATCAACCACAATTTAAAATGCGTGGTGATTCTGGTACCCAGTTACAACTTTTGGTACAACAACGTATGTTACAACAGAAACGAAATTTATATCACAGACACCGTGCAGGTGGAAGCCCAACACCAATTCCAGTATCGACGAATGCATCTAGTAGACGTATCGATCATGTTTCGCGACAAGATAGTTATAAAATGGCCCAGAGAACGCAAATATTACCACCTTTATCTCAGGGACACGTCGATCCTGATTTTAATAGAGATAGAAAACGAGAAGAAGAAAGGTGGAAGAGTTTACCATCTCGATTAGCTGCAGATTGTCAGTTAGCTGAACGGACGCTGTTATGGAGTCAACAGGTAATTCTATAAAAAAAAAAAATAAAAATGTAAAAATTTCATTAGTATATACACGCGTGCAAGTATATACATACATACATGTATATCTATAGAGGCTATAATTTTTATTTAACTTTTTTTTTGTAAATGAAAACTGTGATACACAGCTATAAATAATTTTGTGGCTGTATGTTTTATACTTATTATATTTTTACATTTTTTATAAACTATAAAGCTTTAGATCCCGCTTACTTGCTTCAATTAGATTTATAGTAGTGAAAAGTAGTAGATTGTAAAAATTAAGATTTTCTGCCGGTTTGTTGTATTATTATTATTATTATTATTATTATTATTATTATTATTATTGTTATTATTATTATTATTATTATTATTATTATCATTATTATTATTATTGTGACTGCTATTATAAAATGATTATATTAGCACACCTTTATGCAGTAATTGTTATTCTTTAGTAAATTTATGTTGAAAGAAATAAACAGTTACATTAAGTTTAAGTTGGCCTACTTATTATATATACTACTACAAATTAATTTCAATTCGTATGCATGGTCTCTCTCAAATCCCTTTTTTGTGTAAAAATCAATGTGCTGTAAAAATTGTATTTATTATATCTCTACCCATGTATATATATTTAGTGCTTTGTATATTTTTATAATTAATCATTTGGCTATTTAAATATATTATTATTATTATTATTATTATTATTATTATTATTATTATAACTATTAATTATCAGCATATGTTCACTTTGTGAATATATGAATTCGTAATGTAATAAAGTACAATAAATATTCATATTGATGATAATGTATGCGCACGTGCCTTTGCTTAAAATAAAATTTTAACAGCTATTTGAACGTATCAGGTCGGACTAGGTGGAGGTGCATCATATTTGCCACCTGGCAGTGTTGGGGGCTTCTTATGGCCCACTACAAACAACACGCATTCAACCATATTTGAAAATGCTGGGGATCCAATGGAATGAATATCTGTCCTGTTGTATTTAGTAATAATTTAGAGATTTTGAGTCTGTAAAGCTAGATTAAGATACACAACCATAATAAACAATATTGCCTTCCTAGTCTTTCCACATAATGTTATATTAGTCTTATTATGTACATTTGATCTTAGATTTGGAAGCATGACGAGAGGGGTTTACTTGACGTATACTTATTAAATATTTCTTTATAATTAACGCTTTTACGTTATGAAAAAAAAAAAAATCAATATTGTATTCTAGCTTACACACCCAGAATCTCTAACCACGTGGATAGTACATGTTACTGGATGTCAAAAATTTATATGATTTTTATAAGCTCTCTTTGGTAGAATACGAATATATGGTCATAATATTATATGACAATGGAAATTATCCTGTACGCGCAGCATACATACATCGTCGTTATCATATCCAATGGTACAGGGTTAATCTTTTTATGCAAAATGCAATAATTATTATTAAGATGTTAAAATTGGTTTTGAAAAAAAGAAAAAAAAAAGAAAACAAACAAAAAAAAAAGAAAAACTAAATCTTTGTCATACAGTAGCATGTGCGCCTGCCTTATTACATGACTGATACGATCAGTCAAATATCTAATTATATCATAGACTGATAATTAACAACAACAAACACCAATCAAATTGATTTTGGAAAATAAGCGGCATATGTCTTCTTTCGTAAATGTTACTTCCCTCTGATCCTTTAGGTTGATTATTTTATCGGGCTATATCTGGCAGAATAATTCTATCGCTTATTATTTTTAGAAATATATTATTATTATTTATATATTACACGTATAATGATAATAATAATAACTCACACTGAATTTCTACACCATATAAATGTTACCAACGATATTCTCTACTGCCACTGAATGAGAAGAAGAACGCAAGTGTTCAAAAACAATGACGAGGTATTATAAACATGTTTTTAGCTGTAAGCTGTAAGAATAAATGAAAATTGTTACATCGATAATATGAGGGAAAACATATGCCACTTTAAATTGTATCTTCTTTTTCGACTAATAAAAGAGAGTGGAAATGGCAATAGAACTAATAAAACTAATTGTTCGTTAAAATGTTGCGTTGTTGTTGTTTTAATTAGAAGAAATATTTTAATAATATTGAATGTACAAAAATTAGAATATGTTTAAATCCTTCCACTCTTCTTTAATGGTGCATAACGTTAACGTTAGGAAATAATCATAATAAATAAAAGAAAACAATAATATTAGTCGATAATAAATTGTAGTTGGCATGTAAGAATACGAAAGAAGTGCTGCATTCTGTAAAAATGTTTAACACAGAAGTCATTAAAATATAAATATATATATATATATAAAATATAAATATATATATATATATATATATATATANTATATATATATATATATATATATATGCTTTACAAATTTATGCATGAAATGTTATCAAAGCAATCAGATTTGAGATGCTTCGTCTTAGTAGAAGAAATAAAAAAAAGAAAAGTAACTCCAATAAAATAAATATAAATACGATATTAGAAAGATGGATAGAACACCACTGAACAATAAAGAAAAGATCAATTTAATGGCAATCATTATTAAATTCAATATATCTTAATTGTCGCAACTGTTTTTCATAAGAAGAAGAAGAAAAAAAAGAAGAATAAATGCATATATACTTTTTATATGTTTCCATATTTTAAACAATAGGTGTCAATTTTACTCCACAGATATAAAATCTCCAAAGCTCAATAACATCAAAAACATTATCATATGTTTTACAATAATAAATAATAACGAACGAATGAACACCTAAAGAACAGAGAGTACATTTTTTTAAAAACAAAGCTTTTGTATTTTTACATAGAATTTTTTAGCTTTGCACGATCGTCTATTATATCTGTTAGGAAAGGATGATGATGATGATACATAAGTAAAACGAAATGGTATCGAGAGAAAAAGAAAAAAACAATGTTTTTACATTTTGATATGAATACAGCACTTTTTAATGCAAATAATACGTAATCTTAGAGTTTAGTAGTTTTTAGTCAGTAGAGTGCAATACCGGCCGCGCACAACTGACAACAACGATTTTACTATTCGAATTTTCTGTCATTTTTTACCCAAAGGAAGATGATTAAAAAAAAAAAAAAAAACAAGAAGGAAGAGAAACAACAATCAAACTTTTGCTCAAAGTCTTTTGATATGTGTATCGATCAATAGCCATTAAGTTAGCCTAATTCTGAAAAAATACTCTGTCATTCTAAAAAAGGCTTAGAACTTCAAACAAAATATGCGTAAGACTCAGGAATTGAAAAATTTGTTTCTAAAACCGCCACTGATTGATAGAAGATAATGTTTATCCATTTAAGCTTGTCTTTTTGGAGCGATGGATTAGTAATTACATTTTTAAACTGGGATCATTTTAAATGATGTATTCCATTCATTTGTAATCAGCAATAAAATTCATTTCATCTCTACGCGCATCAAGATAATATATGCTAGTGTATGTGTCTTTAATTTTAGTATATATATAAATATGTATTTATATATATACTTTGTAAAAAGACTGTTTGTAAGATATTATCGATTATTGGTTTTGCAATGCACGGTCTAACACAAAATAACATCTGCGATATTTGGTAGAGCAATGATTTGCTATTGAATTAAGACTGCCACACGAGTTTACCATCATACAGAGAGATATTATAAATAATAACAGACATACACATAAACACACACACACACGAGTTAATAAAGATGTATATGGAAACTCCATTTTTGTCCTCCTAGAGAAAATAGATATTTGCTCGTTTCTTTATTCGTTACAAATGATAGTTCAGTAGTTACTGTTTATAAATCATCTACATATGTATAAGCGCGTGCATAGAATGTACCAAATAAAAACATATGAGGATCAAAACTTTGATTTAATTTCTTCATCTATTAATATGTATAGAAATTTAACTAATCCTTCATATTACAATTTAACACATGGAGCTACATTCCATATTTGTGCTTTTTATGTTTAATCCATAAGATTCACTACGAGCAAGACTCGTGTTTATGCCATAAGTTATAAAGCATATCATAAGAGTCTTACACTTTGTTATAGTACAAGGAGTTAATATTAAATTCAATTTAAATATATTTATATATATATATATAGAAATACTTATTTATAATTTATTATAACATTAAATATAACACCACATTCCAGTTTAAAACATTGATAATGTTTTAATAGCATCTCTTTGTTACCGTATGATACAGAAATATTTCCTATTCACGAATGTAGCTGCTAGGAACACCATCACAAAATATATCAGTGCCAGTTTTCTTAGCACGATCTAATGCTTCTTCTGGAGTAAGTTTCTCGTATTCACTAGGATTCTTAGGATCTCCATTGGGATGTAAATCATCTTTCTCAAAATCCTCTTTGATCTTTTTAGCATATATCTCGTTGAAGAGATCTTGAGCTGTAAATTCTCCTTGACTAACTTCCGCTTTATATGACACATAAGGTTTCAAATTAAAACCTTCTAAAGATGGAACGATAAGTTCCGGTATCATTTCTGGTATACAAACATATTTTTTTCCTATTTTGAAACCTACATCTCTTACTCCTCTTTCTGCACAAAGAAAAATCTAATAAAGTTGACGTACAATTTAAATCATTATTTTTTAAACATTAGATGATGACAATGATGACAATAGGTGTTAAATAATTCTGAACTTACTGTCTATTGGATATTCCGGATATGGATCTGTCCTTTGCCTTTCTTTGAAAACTCGACCACCACGTTTATTGATAAGTTCAAATTTACGAAAATTTTTCTTTCCATAACTAATACAAGAAGTTGATATACATCTTTGTATTATCAAAAACGGAGAAGTCATAATTATAATCAAACAAATAACAATTCTAAAAACTTAACCTATAACAAGATGTACAATAAATTTTTTAATAATAATTCGTATAGGATATAAAAATCTTAAGAAATATCAATTTGGTAATGCCAACTAACCTAACTTTTTATGCATCTATTTCGATATCGTGAATTAACCTAACTTTTCATTCATCTATTTCAAAATCACACATTTGACCGCAACGAGTCGCTGTTATCGGAGTTAGATTTTTAATAATCTTTTATAATTATTATCAATATTAAAAAATAATGATTAATATTCTTATATTATATATGACATAAACAAAACGCTAATTAATTAATGTTAACAAACATAATCATTGAAAATTATAAATGATTTTAATTTATTGCTCATTAACCATATTTTACATATTATGCTTTTATTTTAAATAAATGAATAATATTAACAAGAATTATTTATTTAAATGCATTTATTATTACGAAAATAATCATAAGATACTCACTCGTTAAAGTGCTGGGATAGGTTGATGCAAATATTATTGAGGTAGGTCGATGCACTGAACGTTTTCGTTCCTGTTTACATTTGTCCTCGTGAAATTCTCGATTTACAGTTACGATGTCATATCGATATATATATCACGCGCTAATTTTAAAACTGTATCACACGCGCATAATTTAGTTATTAATTATGTAATATTTAAATTAAATAAATGTGATTTAATTATAATAATGTATAATATATGGGGAACAAAATATTTATTGGCTTTCATGTTTGATTTATACTAAAACTTGCTCTTGGCGCCAATATTTTCATGGTTACTATGGTAACGTTTATCAGGAGCGTAACTATAGAAAAGATTCGATGGGGTAGTAGAATCTATTTTGAGTTGCCTTTATTCAGGGGCATATGTCGGGCGTATATTTATATAGATTTATGTATTAATATAATTTAAATATTTACAAGAACTTACGTGAGATTAGATAAATATTTAAAATAAAATATAATTAAAATACCAAAACATTTATTTGTTGCAAAAATTGTTACCAAAGACAGACTTCCCTTCTTACTCTACAGTATTTCTATATATATATTTCTGATATATTTTTTTACGCCGTAATAAAATATTATTAAATAATTTCGTGATTGTTAAATTAATATTTAAATTTGTATACATTACTTTCTTCATGCAAAATTGATTAATTGAAATATTCAAGAGCATAAATCTATATATACGCATATTTTATATGAGCACTTAAAAAATACGAATGCTTGTATAATACAATATTAAACAAGCTTATTAATTTTATAATCTTTTTTTATTCTTTTTTAATAACTTTTTCTTTTTATTATTCATTCATTAGAGATTATCTTATTTCAAATCCTTGAGAAAAATCTTCATTCGTCATATAATAATCGATTTGTCGTTTCGATCAATTGCAATTGATCGACGATAAGAAGTGCCCTATAGTTTCCTTATTTGTTCCTTTTTCTTTTATATACAAAATAAAAAAAAAATAAAGATAATAATTTCTTTTAAAGTCAATAGAAGAAATAAAAAAACAAAAAAAAAAAACAATCCAAATGTCTTCGAATAAAATTTCAATACAAATATTAGGCGTAATTTGATTTGATAAAAGCGATCTCATATGCACTAACTTTGTATTAGAGAATAAAACTTTAGGATAAAAAATAATATCGGGATGATTTATCTTTTTTTCTTTTTATCATAATAAATATATATTATGATAGATAATGTATGCATAGAGAAATAGAAAAAAGATGCCACGAAATCTGACGATACGAGGTGTTGTAATTTTCATTAAAGAAATAATTCGTTACAATTATGCACAGAATTATAATCATTCATTTTTGTACAAGAACAAATTTATCAATTTGTAATTGTTCTTCTTTTTTTTTTTTTAGAGATGAAACGGGGATTTATTTGGATAGAGAGATGGGGGGTTGAATTAGAGAAAGAGGGGGATAAGAGGACTTCTAAATTATTTATGTATGTATGTATATATGTAAAATCGTTATCTAAGCTCCTACATATCCAGATTTCGCAATATCCTTGTAAATATTCAGATAGAAAATATTGATTAAACTTCTCACTGTTGTGTGTCGACGACGAGAGGGGCGCGAAAAAGGGATCGACAAATTTCGATCGTGTAAATTTCACTTTCATACATTCGTAACATTCATACGCGCTATTTGCGATCTCTCTCTCTCTCTCTCTCTCTCTCTCTCTCTTTCTTTCTATTTGTTTCTTTCTCTCTTTTGTTGCACAAAGCGTTATGAAAAAAGCGTGTTGCTGCGATTTATTTCACACAATGTACGTGATGTATACATTGATGAATCGATTTTTAAAAAATGGGGATTGGGGGAAAAAAAATTAAATAAAACTAGAGACAAATATATATAAAAAAAGAAAAATTAATAAATAAAAAAAAGTCCATAAATCATCTCATACAATTTCAACTGTATGATTGTAAAGTTTATCTCTTTTTTTTCTCTCTCTCTCTCTCTCGTTGCTGTTGGTTGTTATTTTCATATCGGACATTGTGCAGGTTCACAACGAGATTGAATAATAATTAAAAAAAAAAAAAAAAAAACAAAGAAAAAGATGAATCATAATATATAACAATAAAACACATTTTTTTTCGTCTATTGAGTAAATTCTTAAAAAAAATTATCGATTATACGAACACGTAGATTTATTAAAAAATAATTCATTAAAACGATATCGCAATACTTTTTTTTTATATATATATAACAAGCACCCAACGATTTAAATCTTCGTTTTAAAAATTATGTCAATAATTATTTTTTTTTCTTTTTTCTTTTTCTTTTAATATACACATTATAATATAATAATAAGTTTTTAAATCATTCCATTTCTGCGCAATGTCCACACAGAACTTATTTCATTTCTACAAAAACACAAACGCGCGCACGCGTGTGATTACTCATTATATATATGTATAAGTATATATAATAAGTGAAATTTATATATATAATATTTATATATATAATATTTATATATATAAACTAACATCCTTTCACTCATTTTTCTCTTTATGACTCTCTCTCTCTCTCTTTCTCGATATCGACGATGACGATGATGATAATAACTAATGGTAATAAAAAATAACTAACTGATATTACTTTATTTGTGTTTTGCGATATATAACCATGGTGGTGTTAGCAGCATCTGTGTTTTGTCCATTAGGGTCATTATTATTATTACATTCGTAAAATGTATGTGTTTGTGTGTTTGATCGTGTGTATATTAAATGTATATCCATACACGTATATATAAAAACATATATACGATATGTCCTATATATATATATGTATAGATATATAAGTATTTTTTTTTCTTTTTCTTTTTCTTTACTTTAATTATATACAATTGCAGAAAGGGGTGTGATTATTATTGTGTGTAGGCACTATGGCTTCTGGACGTACACTAAGTTGTTGTACGTTAGGGTACATCCCGTAAGGAACTTCCAAGAGAAAGAAGTCACCTCCAGTGTACACTTGAGTTCTCTAGGAACATTACATTATTATAAATGATTAGCAAATAAATCGTTTAATTCTTTTTCTTTTTTTTTTTTCTTTTAGGGCAGCATTTCTCTTCATCTTTATAATATTATTAATCTTTATTTTTCTTCTTGTTATTTTTTCCAATACCGCTTGTTATTTGTATATTAGTACTTTATAATTATTTTTAAAAAATTTTCTTTTCCCTTTTTTTTCTTTTTTAATTATTACATTGCGGTAGAATTCAAGGGTACCGCTGGTTGTTTTCACGATTCTCTTAGAAAATCCCTTTTGTTATTTTTTTTTTTTTTTAATTAATCAGGACAAATACAGAGAAGAGGATATTTACTTCTCTCTCTCTCTCTCTCTCTCTCTCTTTCTTTCTCTCTCTCTAATTATTGTATCCTGAAAGTAATCCTTAAAAGACAATTATAGTTTACAATTACAATTAAATATGCGTTTATACGTGGGCGATATAGCCGAAGATTTTTTTTCTTTTATCTTTACTTTACTTTACTTTACTTTACTTCACTTTAATTCACTTCTTTTTTTGTCATTTGTTTGTTTGTTTGTTGTGTTTATCTTTCATTGTACATTTGTGAGTTCGTCTCCGTGTTTATTTCGTAACATGCTAAGAAAAATATTTGAAGAATATGATATCTAACAAACAAAAGAATAATAAGAATTAATAATAATTATAATAATAATTAATAATAATAATAATAATAATAATAATAATAATTAAGAATAATAAAATTAGGAATATAACAAATACATAGTGAAATTTTCTCTCATTATTTTCACTTTTTCTATTACACACTTGCAAACACTCTTTCTCTCTTTTTCATGCATACGTGCATTCTTTCTTTTCTCTCTCTATCTCTCTCTCTCTCTTCACAATTTGAGATAAAATAATATACATATATTAAATGTAAGACGTATATATACTCATACGTCATTTAATAATATACGCGACGAATGTGGGTGTGTATGTGTGTTTTATGTCTGTTTGTTTGTAGGATTACAAAAGTATATAGAATAAAAACTACATCTTACCGAGCGCACTTACTGCTTTCTTTTTCTTTTCTACAAACAATTTATCAATGTGAAATTGATCGTGCAAATCGATCGCAATATTAACAAATTTTTATTCTAATTTATATATATATATATATACGTGTGTCTAAACGAGTGACAATGTTTCTTTGCTTGTACCACGATTTGAAACAACAAAATATTTAAAAAATAAAATTTGTCAAGTTATTTAAACAAATAAACATTTCACACACACATCGTACGAGGAGTATGTGCAAGCGACAATTTTTATCAAATATACAATTTCTCATGACGTCATATAATTATCCTTATATCCTTGCGAATAAAAAACAAACTTAAAAGAAAAACGAAGAGATGAAACAAATAGAATGACAAAAGAAAAAAAAATATATATATATACATAAATAAAAATTACATAAGAAAACACGATCATTTTTTTGTTTGTTTGTTTTTGTTTTGTTTMCCTGCCATAGGCCCAGTCTCTCTTCTCTTTGTATACCGTCCCTCACATAATATATCCCTTACAACGCACAACTTATTTACTTATTATTATTATTATTATTTTTGTTTGTAATATAATAATAAATTGCACAGAAAGAGCGTCTCTAGTAAGTATTTATGTCGTATCCCGTTTAGAGAATATGATGAAGCTTCACGTTATCGTTACACATGAAATTCAAGTTTTTGTTTCTTTTCTTTTTTTTTTTTTCAAAAACATATCGTAGTATTAATAATATTCTTTATTATCATTGATGTTGTACCTGTCAAGTTTTCTTTTACACGCAAACGCCGATTTATTTTCTTCTTTTCTTTTTTTATTTTTATTTATTTATTTGTTTGTTTGTTTGTTTAAAACTATATAGCTGATATGTTTCTCTTGTGCCTCGCGTATTAAAACTCATATTCCATAATTTTTTCTTGAAAGTTTAAAAATAAATTCCAGCTTCTTTAATATAATAATAATAATAGTAATAATAATGACAATTATAATTAAGAATAATAATCATAATAATAGCAATAATAAAATAAGGACAATAATAATAAAATAGTAATAATGATAATGATAATAATAATACTAATAATAATAATAATAATAATAATAATTTTTTCTTAAAATTTAACATCATCATTATTTTGTTTTTCAATTTATTATAAAAGAGAAATTTCTTATCTGTGATTTTAATAAAAAAAAAAAAAATTTAAGAATTAGTATTACAAGGATTGGAAAAAAAACAAATTAAAAAAAAAAAAAAACAAATCCAATATTACTAAAATATTTATAGAGATCGTTTGAAAAATTTAGTTTCTTATTTAAAATTTAACAACGATAATAATAATAATTAATATTACATATACACCATTCGCGACTAAATAAACGAAACGAAGAAACATTTATTGTTGTGTATCTTATATATTTTTCTTTCTTTTTTTTTTTCTTTGTATTATTTTATATTTTCCATCTTGAAATACTTCTTTTTCTTTTATTTCCATTTTTAATCATCATGCTTCTAGAAAAATCTCAATTTTCGTGAAATATTACGCGCGGATTGATATTTTTATAAATTAATAAAAGAAAAGAAAAAAAAAATAATGAACATTATATTATTATTAGAAATTTAATAATATATGTATAAGGGATTTTAAAATGAATTTCTCGATAATAGTATTATTTGTAGATAACGAGGCGAGAACGTTTTCTTTTTTTTTTTCTTTTGTGTTATGTGTAACGAAACAGCGAGAAGAAAAATAATTATTACGTTAACTATTAAGGATAATAATTAATCGTTAGGTGCCCGATAAGCAACTTCGTCATGTTTTATATATCAAGGAGGCGAACTCATAATGATAGTTCAAAAAGACGAAAGTGCCTTCGTGATAACGATGACAATGATGATGATGATGATGATGATGAGATGATGATGATGATGAGATGATGATGATGATGATGATGATGATGATGATGATGATGATAGCGATGACATTTCTATTATATTACATTATCGGAAAGTCGAAAAGATCCGATAGACCCTCATCTGTAGTTAACGAGAACGAGTAGTCACTGTCGGATAATGGCGGCTCCAAGGGTAACAGGTGTTCTCCAAATTCGAGAATGCTTAAATCTGAAACAAAACAGACGAACACGATGGACTTTTACAATTTCCATCAGAAAAATAATATTATTTATGAATGGATCAAGCAAACATTCATTCGTGTATGAGGTAAACATCGTGTATATATTGCATGTAATAAAATTTTAATATCAAGGTCGCATTTATACGTTTTTTATAGATGTAATATTATTATGAGGATTCGAAAAGATTAGTTTATTTGATTTAATTAAGTAAAGATGCTTGAATTTTTATAGATAATTTATTAGAGTAGTATTTTTTGTTATTGTTTGTTAGAAATAAAGTTTTGATCGAATGTAGTTTCATTGAGAACGAAATTTATGTCTGATATAGACCCTTTCGATAAATGCAACCCTGTATACATAATTGATTTATTTTATTTATTGTTATCCATAATTTTAATTTATTTATTATTAAGTAATAATAAGAGATGATAAATGAATTATTTACAACCCAAAGCGATTAACTCCACTTGACCAATGTTTATCTTTTTAATTCTTTTTTTTTTTTATTAATAAATATAAATTTCGTTAAAATATCACTGAACAAACAAATTTTATATGGCCATTGAATAAATGATAACCACAACATAGTATAATAAATTTAATCAATTGTATTTTTATTTGGAGTCAATAGATTTGTAAAATTATTGGCACAAATATATGAAATATATTTTTAAATAAAAAAAAAACATACCTTTACCAAAGGCGGATAATAAATGGCTGCTAGAAACCGTTACCTAATTAGAACTCTGCCTGTGATGTGATTTTCAGTTAAACAACACACAAGTCACAGCCAGAGCTCCATCAGGGTACGGCGATCAATCGAATTCATTTTTTTCTATAATCATTTTGTTAATAATCGTTCGAAAAGTATATCAGCAAATTAAATTAAAATTCATCATCACATTTTGTCATGATATTCTTTATCATAATGTCATTTGCTATTATTACTCTTCAAACGATTAATTTGATAAGTGATCATCGAGTTAGCTTTTACCATGCAAAAATAAAAAATAATATTTCTTTCTCAAGTGGATAAATTGTCAATAAACCTTTTCCACGAGAAGAAAAAAATATTTTATTTAATAAATACGTGCTTATAAAAAGTATACAGGTATTTATACACATATATGCACATATAAATGCATAGATATACATACATATATACGTACGTAATTTCGAAGTGTAAAACTGAGCTTTATTAGAAAAGAATTGAACAAAAATGAAAAATAAACAAAAATAAAAACAAAAAAGAAAATAATAATTCAATAGAAAATTTTTAGTTACATGAAAAAAATTATATTAACATTTTTACAAAATGTAAATTGAAAAATTGTACAAAGTATATAATGTGACAATTAAATATTCTTCGTTTTTTTTTTTGTACAATAGATAATAATTGTTTTTTAAATATCTTTTAAAAGATGCTTTTTAGCTAAAAGCTTCAATTGTAATTAAAATCTTTATATAAATATTTTTATATAAACAATATGTAAATTGCAATCAAAGAAAACGAGGAAACGAATAATAAATTTGTTAATACAATAATGCATATTTTTTTTCTTCGTTTTCTTTTATATTATTTATACTAACTCGTTTTTATATATTACATACAAAAAAGAAGATTAATCGTTTAATTTTCTCACAATAAAGTGCACCTTTACATGCTCGGTTACTGCGCTGCATTAAATTTAAGAAAGCATATACAATCAATGAAAAAGTTGAATAAAATGATGTACAATTAAAATAAACAACAAAGTACCAATTTTTGGATTACAGAAAAAGTATCATGAAAGAAAGATATGATATGATTAAAAATAGAAGAAAAATAAAAACAAAGAATTAAACAAATTTCAAAGAATGAAAGAAAAGAAAAAAATACTAAAAATTATAATTAATTTATTGAAAAAATACCCATACTCTCTTTCTTTCTTTCTTTAACTTTGTTAAAAAAAAAAGCAAGCAATATTATTTGATAACCCTTCACATATTAAATATACAAAGAGATTAACAATTAAGCTGTTTACAACAGGCAAAATCGATTAAATCAACTTTCCGAATTTTTTTTTTTAAATTTTAATCATTGAAACATCCATTCATGATATGACAATGTATATTATTTTATCAATTTTCTCTACTCTTTTCGTTTAGTTGAATTAATCGATTTGTTAAATAATTGGCTCAATTAATAATAGTAATATCGAAAAAAATTAAAATTAAATATAGAAAAAGATAAAGAAAAAAAAAGGAACAGATATGAAGAAATATTCGAGCAACAATAGATTAGATAGGATAGCCATTTTCTGTTTAAAAGTTTATGCAATCGTAAGCAAGATTTGATGTTATCTACAGGTATTCCTACCTGGAGCGTCCATTTGGTCCTCTGTTTGTAGTTGGAACTTGCCACCACCCATTGGTCCATAATCATCCGATTCGCAGAGCAATGCGTTCCTCATACCCGCTATACTGCTGCTAACATCGTTCAACGAAGATGGCATACTCGCACAACTATTTAGAACACTAACGACCGGATTAGATTCTTGTTTGACACGAACTTCGTTATGAACTGCGTCGACTAAAAGTTCCGGAGGAAGATAAGTTAATTCCGATTCTTTAACAGAAGGCACGGTTCGCGTCGTCGTCGTCGTTGCTGCTGTCATTAGTGAACTTGTCGATAATGTTGGGTTTTGTTTTGGCGTTGGCGTAGGTGGTGTTGTCGACGAATACCCTGACGTTTGTGATTTAACCGGTGCATCGTCCGGACATAAAAATACTTCGATTTCACCGTGCGACGACCTTATGTGCATTTGTAGCTAAAACAATGTATATATTATACACCAGAGATATTTATTCTTTTAACGAATTAAACAAAGACCACAAAAATAACAAATAAAATTCGAAGATAATACACTTGTGGATACAAAGTAACAGCGTGAATTTGATTTGATTTTATTGTTGTTCAAAATATTAGATTACAATTACCTTCTGTTGACCAAGACTGTTGATGATAGGTTGAGGGACATGAAGCGTTGCTTCTGGTGGTGCCTTAACCGCCATTATCGCTTGGTCTTTGTACATCGGGACTGAACGTAAATCGTGATAGGTTACGTAAGCATATTGCCTGTCCGCACAGAGTTCCCTAAGATTTTGATCAGCACCATGTATTAATCGATCTAGGGTATTCTCTTTAGCTTCCAAATCTGCTAATTCTTTCCTTAATTTAGCGATATCGTTCCTGTCATTAGGCAGTTGACCACCCCTTAAACAGAGACACACAACTCGGTTACATTTTATTATCCTTAATTGTAGTATCATTTGAGACGATGGTTACGCAAGTAGTCTAAGTCAATAATTTCACCTACAGGCATACACATTTTCTTTCTATCTTTAATGATATTATTAAAATTTTAATTGTAAAACAAATTAATTTGTTGAGAATAAATATTTACTTTTTTTATATTTTTAAACAATCCAAACTCAAATATATAAAAATCAAAATGTACATAACTTCAAACATAACCACCGACTTATTTGGACTATGTTATACAGAAATTTATCAACAAAAAAATTAGATTCCATTATTTAATGATTTTTAATTTGCAAAATAATTATCAATTGTTCATAGAACAGCTTTTACATTATGCAATTAGTACAATTACCAAGCCGTAATTCAATTTTATGCTCATAAACTAAAGCAAATTAATGAAGTTATTTTTATTATTAAATTAAAAAATCTATAATTAAAATTTACTTAATATAAAATCATTAAGGGGTTGATGGTTTTCTGTATAACTTGAGTTATTTGTTAATTAAATAAATCAACGTACTTCCATTGTATATTGTTTTTACTTTTCTTCTCTAAAATTCCAATGCCTTCTAAAACATTCGTGATGTCATATATACGACGTTTTTGTACCTCCAACTTTTCAGATGCTACGTTTAAATCAACTACACCGTCTTGACTACTTTCGACCAAGTGTATGAACTTTTTTGTAAGTAAACTCAACGACGTATCGTAACGTGTTCTCTCCACGGTTTTGCCTGGAAAAAAAAAAAAAAAATATTAAATAAAAATGTAATTCATGAGACATGAAACAAAACGAATAAACATAGGTAAATGTTATAAAGATTTTTTTCATTATTTTTACGTACTTTTAGTAGGCGTATGGCCGGCTAACGAATTAGACCCAGATCTTCTACGTTTACCTCTAGGTGCTTTAAACGTAGAATGACTAGCTCCTGTCGTACCAACCTCCAAATTCAGTCTTCTTTTAACTGCCTGTACCGATATCTGCTAAAGTCCCAAATAAATGTGTTGAGACCTTGCAAGGATATTATTTTTATTGTATATAACAACGTTTCTCAACTCTTTTTATATTATATTAAAACTGTAAATAATATTTTATAATTTTATTAAATAAATTTTTTATTTTATCAAAATATTAATATAATATTTAATATTATGTAATATAAAATTTTGAAAAACCTGACTCACTGGAGTCTCTGTATATTATTTTTAAGTGTACTGCTACTATATTAAATTTTCGCAAACTTACGATAAGACATTTTGAAAATATTTTCATCGAATTTTTTTAAAAACGAAATACTTTTTAAAACTTTTGAAATTAGACAGCAGTTATCATTTCTCGGTTAATTAAAAATTGAACGTTGTTCAATACTTGATCTCGGGTCTCATAGGTTGAAAAATGTTGATATAGAAAAAATAGTTTTTATTTTTAAATTTATCTTTTATTTAAATTTTTTGTTTGTTTTTGTAAATTTCAACAGAGTGAAACTACAAAGTGAATTTTCTCGTCAACAACATACCTCGGTTCGAGGTGATGGTTGAGCTGGTTTCCTGGACACTTGATAACAAGGAGTTTGACCATATTGATGATCCTGAAGATGAGGACTTGGCGTTTCCTCGGATACCTTTTGCGATTGGATCTCATCTAATGAACCATCGTCCAGGTATTCAGTTTTTACTGAACACATTGACAAAAAATCCAATTTTACATGCAACGTATTTGATATAAATCACGGGGGTAAAAGAAATTCGTATTAAATATTAAATTAAAATTGTCTATTAACGAAAAAAATTCAAAACGAATTATTAAATTTAAACTTACACAACTTGGTTTCCATCATATCCGGCGTAACAGGCCTAGCCGGGTCTTCCAGGACAACTTGTCTTCTTACTCGTGGCATCGTTGTTATTTACGATTACCTGAAATAATAATAATAAGCATAATATAGCAATAATATCAAAATTTCTAATCATTTAACGGAAAGTCATATTGTTCTATGCGGCAACAAGTAAATGTCAACAATGAACGATTAATAATAATAATAATAATAATAATAATAATAATAATAGTAATAATAATAATAATAATAATAATAATAATAATAATAATAATAATAATAATAATAANAATAATAATAATAATAATAATAATAATAATAATAATAGTAATAATAATAATAATAATAATAATAATAATAATAATAATAATAATAATAATAATAAAAAGGGCTAAAAAAAGAGCAGAACAATAAAAAAAAAATTTATTATTTAAACAAATTGCATTGAATTGTTAGAACGTAGATATATTATTTCTTTTAATTTCTATTAATATTAATAATAATATTAATATTTACATAAATATAAATAAATAATTTATATTTATATACATATCAAAGAGAGAAATCTCTAAAATACCTTAGACGGTTCGTTGCTCGATTAATTAGAGAAAATACGAAGAATTCGTAAACTTTTTGTTCATATTACGATTATCTCTTACGAACATTGGATTTCCTTATCTCTTGACAATTAACATAGGAAATAAGAAAATCAGATCCAAGGCACGACATCGAAATGACGTTTATTCTCGTATTTCAACGTTTAAACCAACGAATATATTATTATTATCATATTCGATGATACATACGTTGTGTATATACGTTGGTTAGAGAAAGAATATCACGTACTAGTTTTATACAGGGTGTTCCAAAAATATCTTTCTATCTCTATATTTCTATCTCTATCTCTCTTTCTCTCATTTAACTACCTAGTAGCCGGCACGTGTTTTCGAGGAACGGTTTGTGACTTAGGAAAAAACGAAGTATGCTTAGAAGAAACTAGAAAAAAAAGGATCATAGAATTGACAATGTTTCTACAAAAAAACCCCATGAGATTAATTTACAAATGATAATACATATGCGTGCATGTATTAAGTACGACAAGGTTATAAATAACCTCGAAATAGAAAAAGAAATGAACTAATTCGATGAACATTGAAACGAAAAAGAATCTACCTATGAATATATCTGTCTCGCTCTTTCTGATATCAACGTCTACGAAGAATTTAGTCAACGACGAACCAATACGAATTCCCTAAGACGAATTACCAAATGATGAAAACAAAATGTTTCATCCAACATACGGATACAAAAAATGAAAGAAAAAAGAAAAGAAAAACGAGAATAAAAGAAACTGGAAATGAAAATAAAGACACTTTTTTGAATGAATGAATGACGAGTAAGAAAAGGGAACGGTGTAGTGATATGAAATGAAAAAAACGAGAGAGAGAAGTCGAAGATTCCAAGACGACTGTCGCGTCCGCACTGCCGGCGACAGTCGCTGTCGCGGGGGACCAATGGGATTGGGAGCAACGCACGGCGCGTAGTCATCGATTGGTGGCCCGTTATCTGGAAGATAAAGCGGGCGTCGCGGTGGGTAACCGTAGCATCGATTGGCTGGCCAGCCGGCGCGGGCTCATGCGGGGAGAAGTTGCATGGAAGGAAGGAAGAAAGAAAGAAGGAAAGAAAGAAGGAAAGAAAGAAGGAAAGAAAGAAGGAAAGAAAGGAAGGAAAGAAAGGAAGGAAAGAAAGAAAGGAAGGAAAGAAAGAGAAACGATTCTAAACGGCGAAAATTCAAAAGAGAAGAAAAATAAGAATAGGAATAAGAAGAAGAAAGAAGATGAATAAGAAAAGGAAGAAGAGGTTGAGGGACCCCCGGACCGAAAGCACGAAAGAAGGGGCCCACGAAGCTTATTTCCCTTTCTCTTCTGTTATATCAGATGAGTGTAGTATGTATAAGAGAGAAGGAATAGGTTGGACCCTATCGACGGTGAAGAAATAAGAAAGAGAGAGAGATCGTTCCCCTTCTCCAGTTATCTTTTGGTGTGCGTGGCTGAAACGCGCGCGTCTTTTCACTCAATCTGTCTCACTCTTGCTTCGTCGATGCATCTCACGCATGCGCGAAGATGGCGGACGGCTTGGACGATCAGCTGTTGACCGTCGTCGTGTTCGCATATGTGTGAGAGGGCCGACGACGTAACGATGGAGGACGTCTGACGATAGTCGTCTCTCTCTACTGTGAGATAGCTCCTGAACGTTCCTTTTTCTCTTACCCAACTGGAAGCTTCTATCTCGAAGAAGAAGTAGTAAAAGTAGTAGTGTAGTAAAGTAGAATAGATTAGAATAGATAAGGATAGAGTAAAGTAGAATAGTAGTAGTAGCAAGTAGTAATAATAATAGTATAGCAATAATAATAGTGTAGAATAATATAGTAATAGTATAGTTGTAGTAGTAGTAATGTAATGTAACAGAAGCAGGAGTAGAAAGAAATAGAAGGAGGAGAAACTAGGGAAGAATGGAAGACGACGATACGCCCGGTGCGATCGCTCGCGTCTGGTTCGCGCAACGCGACACGCGCATAAGAGGAAAGATAAATATGGTTTGCTAGCGAAACGAAGAGAGAAAGAGAAAAAGAGGGAGGGAGAGAAAGAGAGAGAGAAAAGCAGAAAGGGAATATAACGCACAACGTAGCAAGCGACGAGCGAGCAGAACGACGATCATGCGAATGATCGCACGTATATACGAAGGTCGAGCATAGTATGCGCGCGCGCACGCGCGCTCGCACCTATATAACCGTTTAAAGAGCCACGAGTGAGAGTGAGTAAGAGAGATAGAGATAGTAAGGAAGAGAGAGATAGAAGCCGGCTTTAAAAAGAGCATACATAACAGTTGCATATGTTTTAACACAGAGAAACTCGTATCTTTTGAATAATTCTAATCATCGTCATATCATCGTCATCGTCAGGTCTTATTTCCGAAAATATTCGCACAGTCTTCGAATTTCTACTAAATTCGTGTATATATATATATATATGTAAATGCGAGTGTATGTGTGAATGTAGTAATATATGTAGAGGAAGCACACGTATTACCCACCAAAAGCAAATCGGCGCGCTGCCGCCGCCGGCTGCAGCCTGAAAATAACGGTCTCTTTTCCTTTCCCTCTCCGCGTGTCCAAACGTGGCTCGCGCGCGCACCTCGAGCGCACGTCCGCCCGGACGAAATTCCGACTCTCTCTCTTTCTCTCTCTTACTCTCAGCCTGTCTCTGTCTTTCTCTCTCTCTCTTTTTCTCTTTCTAGCTCATGAAACTTCGACCTCACTCTTAGCCTATCTCTTACTCTATCTATCTTTCTCTTTCTTTCTCTTTCATTTTAACACACTTTCAGTTAGTAGTGCAGAGACGACGATGACGACAACGATGTACAACGATGACGACGAAAAGAACGATGATGACGACGATGACGACGATGATTATGATGATGACGATAATGATGATGATAACGATGACGACCGATGAAATAAAAACGACGTGAAGTTAGAAGAGACGAAGTAGTAGCAGTAGTAGTAGTAGTAGGAATGCAGTTTTGATTCGCGCGCATGGTTCTTTTCTTTCCGTTTTGTTCTTTTCTTATTATTATCATTATTATTATGCTTTTTTTTTTGTTTTGGTTTGTTTTAAAGTCTCTCTCTCATTTCATCACTTACTTGTAAACTTACGAGTAAGGCACGATGCGTGTCGCGCACCGAGAACTTAATCGCTTCTTCGAGAGTACGCTCTCTTCCGGGAGGAGGTTCACCCAGCGAATAAAATAGTAGTAGTAGTAGTAGTAGTAGTAGTAGTGTGTGGTAGTAGTAGTAGTGTGGTTGAACGCGGCTTGGCGCGTGTCACAGGGCCAAGGAAGAAGGCATGGCCCTCTCTCCCGGTCCGCTTTTCCTTCTTGCAATCCTCTTATTAGATGATGATAATGATGATTAAGATGACTATGTTGACTAGGATGATGTGACAGGGTTATTTCGCGAATACGGTGTTACGAGAGAGAGAAAACGTTTAAGACCTTTTTTTTTTCTATTCTTTTATTCCCTTTTTCGAAAGAAATTCCATACAGGATTTCTCTTCCTTTCGTTCTTTTTCTTTTGTTACTTGCCCCTGACCTCTCCTCCTTTTTTCCCCCTAAGAAAAAAGCCGACGTAGTGGACGGTACCAGGAGAAGAGGAGGAGGAGGATTTCCTTCGGCCGGTTTTCACACACGAGCTTTCCTCGCTTTCCCTCTCATCTATATCCTCTAGCACACTCCCTGAGACCCTCTCTTTTCTCTCTCTCTTTTTCTTTTCTTTCGTTCTTGGCCCTCAGTACTCGTGGATGTTCCGTTGGACTCCCTCCTCCCCTCTCTCGTTTTTTCTTTCTGTCCCTCAATACTTCTCTCTCTCTCTCCCTCCCTTTCCCTCTCTTACTTCAAAGCGCACTCTCTTTTATTATATCACCGGTGGTGTGGTGTCCATTTTCTAACAAACTGTATACACGATCGACAATCCTTTTCGTCTCTTTTCCTTCTCTCTCTTTTTCCTATCTTTCTCTTCAAGAACTGACGATGACACTACTACGTAGTGTGGCAAAGACAACGTTTTAGACTCGACAATGTAGATTACGTTACATGCGTTATAGGTTTTTTTCTTCTCGTCAAATCGAGTTTGATCACCGTAAACGAGAATAAGGTTCTTCCTTTTGCTTCTTTTGCTTCTACTTTACTTTTTCTCCTTCTTCTTTTTCTTCTCCTTCTCCTTCTTCTTCTTCTTCTTCTTCCTCCTTCTCCTCCTACTTCTTCTGCTTTTCTTCCTCTTTTATACCTTACGTAGACAACGACCTCGAGAAAGCTTTTTGATTAGAAGCCCTCGTTGTCCAAGAACTCTCTCCACGTTTAAGAGGAGTTTTAAATTGGCTTTTTTTTTGTTGTTGTTGTTATGTTGTTGTTTAATACTTTTCGCGTGTAGTGTTCTCGTTTAGCTGAAGTATGTTTTACTTTCGTTCTTTCTTAAAGGAAGGAAGAAATGAGGAATTAGAAAAATTCAATATTTCACGAGTTGTACTAGATCGTTAAAAGACGCGAAGAGGAGCCCCGCCTCGGCATGCTTGCGAGGCGGCCACCGGCGAAGAAAACGAACCTTTTCCGTCCGGGGTGTCGCGCGCGCACACGAGGCCGGCTCGTGAGCTGGGCGATTGGATAGACGGTCCTGCCTGGCGCGCTGGCAACTGACTTCGAATGTACAACATGTAGAAGTACTAGTATCATTCTGGTTATTTCCTTACTAAAGTCTGTCCTACAAGAATACGCTTGACGCTTAAACTTTCAATGCTTTACAAAAAGCTTCGATCGGCTTTAGTATTCCCTAGGTTACTAGGGTCCTAGTTATTTCTGTTGTAACCCTACCACCTGATTGGTTGCAACTAGATACTCGTTTATATAGCTTTCTTATTTTTTAAGGTTAATTTGTTCTATACTTACTTTTTGTTGAAGATATGTGTCTTGGTTGGATGATTGGTTATAGTTCGATCGAGGTCTGCTTTGCTTTTAAATTATTTTTAGATGGAAGTTTTCTTCTTCCACGATGTTGCACCGTGTAAAGTCGACAACATTTACGAGCGTCGAGTGTTTCCTCTATGGATCACATCTTCCTTCTCTTTCTTTTTAGCATCTCCTGTTTAATCGACGACACCGGCATCTCTTGGTCGCTCCTCGTAATAACCTGCGCGCCAAAACTTCACGAACTGGGTCTTCTTCTTCCTTTTCGAAGATGGCCTCGGTTGTATGTTCAGGTACACTGAAGTTAATATCTCTCTTTGTTGCTTTGATTCTTTGTCTATCCTCGAAACTAAGGCACAATCGATAAATATACTTAGATTTGTTCCTGGAAACGTTCGAAGTTGAGAATATCGTTGATTATCGATGAACTTTAAAACTTCCCGCCAAAATGACTAGCCGATTAATCTTACATCTTTTGCATTTACACTTGTTAAGAAAGTTGATGACATTTAACCAACAATATGGGACTTATTACAACACTTGTCACTTTCTTACTTCTACTAAACATTATTCCTTTATTCCTCATTGCGAAATGTCATTACACACTAAACGAACTTTTCACAACTCCAGATGAGACACATCGACAGACCCCCTTCCGACACGAAGGACCAGGGGCCTTATCGATGAAAAATTCTTCGGAGCCCTTGCGCCTGCGCCATTCGTGTTATGTAATCTAACCAAGAAAACTAGAAGGAGATCAAAGTTACTACAGTTATAATGTACTTGTACGTGAACAATTTTTATATATATATATACACTTACATAGTTACATATACATACTTAAGATTCCCCCTTTAAAACGTAAACTTGTTCTTTGTCTCTGCGCACAAGTGTTACTAGTGTTGCAATTTTACTCTACGTGCCAATGTAATTTTAAACTTTAATAGGTTTTATAAATTGATAAAAATAACATTAAATAAAGTCAGAAAATTCTTAAGTTAAAATAAATACTCTAATATCAAAATAATAATAAAAAATTAGCCCTTCTAATAATCTTACATTTTATTCGAAATATTATAAATCGATCTAATTTTAACAAAGTTGATCTCTATTTTACCCTAACGTTTTTTAGCTAAAAAAACCTTTACTCTTCACTGTTTAAAACGGAAAGACATTACCGATGCTTCTCGTTTCTAAGCCGAAACTAAGCGGTTGTTCTCTTCGGCTTCTTTCGTTGAATGGAGGGCTGCCTAAACAGTAGCGTATTTGGAGCCCTTTGAAATAGGGATCATCATCGATTAAATGCATGTAATAATCTTTAAATTTTATCAATGTTTATATGTTTCATTCTTTCTGACGATCCAAATGTCATAATACAATACATACACACAAATATATGTACATGTATGCATTTAAATTTGACACTTTAAAAGATTTATATTCACACAAAAAATTATTATTACAATTTTTCATTCTTGTTATAATACTTGCACAATAAAATAGGATCGATCTTGGACTACAAAAAATCATTTGCATGCAACAACAAAAAATAACAAAAAAATAAAATAAAATGTGCGTTTATTATTCAAATAAATTCACAGATATCATATTAACAATTATATAAAATTTTAAGGCGAAAGTATAAAAATATAGTCTAAGGTCAGGGGCATCGTTAAATCTTTATACGTTCCTTAACTCCCGTCTGTAAGAAGGGGAGCCCGGTGTTTTCTTTCTAACGTATTTATTCGAACCCTACAAAAAGAATTTTATACCCTACATAGGACGTCTCCTCCCTTCTTTTTCTTCGAGTTAACCCCCACCACTCCTACCCCTCTGTCGCTCATCTACCGTATAAGTCTTGGTCATTCTTTTGCTGTTAATTCTATTTTTTGTGTGTTTACTTTTAAATGCAGATAACTTGATTTAATTCGTGTTAATTACTTTTGAATTAATTTGTTGGTAGATGTCATAATTGTTTAAATATTTTGTACCAATTTATTGGTACTAAGAATAAGAGACAGAGGGAAAGGGAGAGAGCGAGATAAATAGATATACAGATAGATAATGTAATATATTAGTTGTCATTTAAGTATGTTATTTTTGTTTATATGTCAACAATGACGAAAACTTCAGGACGTTCAACGTCAGGTTGATCTAAGATTTGCATTGCCGAATATGTGATAGCTTTAACTTCAGCTTCTTGACTGTGTTTTTGAATGTCGAATTCTTCCCCGTAAATGGTCGCCTTGATTTTGAAATTTTCACGATCAAATTCGTTGATTTTCACTTTCTAGAGAAAAACAAAATAAGAGAAATAAATAAAACAGGATAAGAAGAAGAACAAGTAAACGAAATAAATGACGTTTTATCGTATGGTATCTAAATGATTCATAATAATTTACCCTTGCGACGAGGTATGGTTCGGCACTGAAGATAAATAATAATTCATTTAAAAATTGAAAAAGTAGACTTTGAAGATCGTGTCCCTCAATTTCAAATTTATGAATATCTGTTATCTCCACTCGATTAAGATCAGTCATATATCCGTACATTGCTATCGCACATTGTTCAAAAGCTTCCTCTAAACTTTCACCCCATGCGTGTAATCTGAACGTTCAAAAAAGAGTTTCTCTGTCAACCATTTAAGTTATGATATATCATAATTTTATTTATGAGATTATCATACGTAAAATATAAAAAAAACAAACGAATCTAACCTAAAAATACAAATATTAAATAACTGTAATACTTACTGTACGTCAGCGGTGTGATCGAGATCTAAAAGAAAATATAAATTATTAAAATATGTTTGATCAATTATTTCGATTTAATATTATCAAAAATTACTTGAATTCTTTTTTCCCGCCAAATCGTTAGGTTAGGTTCAAATCTGATTTTAATGTTGTATTGTATTTTGATTAATTGCATTAATAAATATTTGTCATTATTTTTTATTAGATATATAAATTTATATAAATTAATATTTTAATGTATTTAATAAGATTTATTAATTACTTACATTCGTATTTAACTTGTGGAATTGATAGATCTTCATTAGTAAGGTCCATGGCCGGCTACAGCTGATCTCATCTACTTGAATAAACGATCAGCTGATTACCTGGTTGAATACTACGAGCCGTAGTACGCGTGCGTAAAATTTCTACTACGTAGATGGCAGTACTTACACGGGAGAGAAAAAGATCGCGATTGTATCGACCGAGTTTGAATGATTTGTCGTCTTATTTTTTTTTAATTACATAGGAGACATTTAATTTCTTTAAGAAAAATATATACGTAAATTCTATATTAAAATAAACCGAAATATGTTAACAAGAAGAAGAAGAAGAAAAAGAAAAAGAAAAAGAAACAAAAGAAAAGAAATAAAAATTATTTTTCTAAATTATTATAAGTAAATGAAAACATATTTCGAAAGTAAATGATCTTGATAATTTTTATCTCGATTTAAATATATTCAATAATTTATCATTCATTTTTCTTTTTCACTTGCTTTTGATATTCAAGTTAAAAGCTTTGACATTTTTCGAAAAAAAAGATGAAACACGTGTGTTTCGATTAAATATTATTTGTTTCTTGGATTTACATAACATTCTTAACATTAATTACAATAATAATCGAGATATGGTTTTTTTTTGTAAAGCCGTCAATTAAATCCTTTCATAGAAAGACTAGACATGCATAAAGTGTCGATAGGTTTTTTGTAAAATTGCGATATAATTTTTTTCGTAAATTAAGTTAGATTATTTGTAGACACTTATAGATTATTATGATGTAATATTTATTTTTTCTTCATTCATACAGAATATACAGCTTCATACAGTCTCATTAGATGCTATATTAGAAACATTATATTTACATATATGTAGTTATGCAATTAAATATTTATTATAATCGTATAAATTCATAACCTCGATACACAATTGATTAATATATTCCCGCATTGATTCTTGTTCCCGCATGAGTTGAAAACAATTTATAATCTCTAGTGGGGAGACCTACTTTCTTTTATTTAATGCGACTTATTTTATACGTTACAAACTATACGTTAATAACAACAAACTTAAGAAATTAAGATGAGAAAAATGTATAATTTTTAACTCTATATTATTATTATTATTATTATTATTATTATTATTATTATTATTATTATTATTATTATTATTAGTTCTAAATTAGAAAATCTATAAGATTACACTAGAAATAAATTAATAAAATTATTAATAATTAACATATACAATATTAATTGATTTATATATAACATATTTACAAATTAATTAAATACGAATAAAATTATTGGATATGAGAGGACAACAATTATGTAATATTAAATAAAATGATATTATCATGATTTTTTTTATTAGTATTCATTTTCGAAATCGATAATAATAAGAAAAACTCTTAATAATAATTGATGCTTGATACGACAACATAATTTTTATTGTCTGAACAATAGAGAGGTAATTTGTATTTCATTTAAATTTTTTCTTATAATCATCTCATTAATATAATGGCGAAAAAAGAATAAATACTAGATATAAGAATAGCCACTTTTGCAGGCACTGTTATTAGAAAGGCAAAAAAAAAGAAGAAGAATACATAATTTTTATTCAATGGAATAAGAATCCATATCTGCTCAATTATTAAATATTTAAAACAAATTATCACATGACTATAAACTGACGAATTCCAAAGTTATGAGGTTCTACGAAAAATATAAAATAAAAAGAAATAAGCAAATTCTTGAGTTGAAAACTCGTTTTTCTATATTCCAAGGCCAACCACTATTACTATTTACAATCTATTGAAGCATGTGTCTAATGGAGAATACACATTTGGATTCATCAAGTCATCGCTGCTGTATACGTTCTAATGTATATCATCGAGATTAATAGTCATATTAGGGCCTACTTGTTTCCTTACTTCCCACTAGTTTCACTACTTGTTTCCTTAATATTTCCAATGTTTTGATAATAAAGCTTTGGAATATATATACTTGCATACATATGCATATGCACGAAAAAATAATGCAAATTTTTAATGAACCGGCGGAAAAATTTATTCGTATTTTTCCTCTACTTAGTAATCTTAGAATTGCATAATAACTTTTCTAATAAATGGATTTGAAAATATTTGTTTACATTTAAAAGTTGACGTATTTTAGAATAATTAAAATAAAAACGAGTAAAAATAAAGAAGAAATGTCATACATTTAGAAATGTTATTATAACAAAAAAAAAAGAAAAAAATTTGTACTCCTTATAAAAATGATACGACTTTAGTAGATTTGTCCAAAAACTGGTTCGAATTAATTGTGTCCCCTTTTTATTAGGCGATCGCTCGAACATCTAAATAGAAATTCATTTATGATTTATAATGTTTGTCTGAATTAATGTTTAATTCTATAGAATATTCACTTTTTTTATCCATTTAAATGGTTTGTTATTCATTAGATTGTATTTACGTCATTTTTACTTTAATTAGTATTTGTTTTCTCTCTCAGCCATGCTCTTTTTTTTTCCTTTGATTTTTATTTTTTAATTTGTATTCATGAGAGATCGAACTTATATCGTTTTTATTTCCATGAACAAAGTTTTGTTTTATTACTTTTTTTCTTTATTTTTCTTGTTTGTTTGTTTTTTTTTAAATTGTTTATGTAATTTTTTTATCAATCATAAGATTATGTTTAAGTTTATTTTTATTTCAGAGAACAAGACAAAAAAGCTTAGTTTTATACTTTTTCTTTTAGTTTATTTATTTCTTTCAGTTTTTATTACTTTTTTTTTTTTAAATAAAATTTATAATAATTTTAACACGTGTGTTTATTATCTAACAAGTATTACATAAATCTGTAATATTTAAAAATAATCATAGGATAAATTGAAGTAAATCGCTTTTTTTTTTTAGAAATAATTAGTAGGTAAGTAATAAAAAAAGCGTAAAAAGCAGTTTAGCATGTAGGGTCAAGACATGAGTATATTTTTTTAGAGTATAATTGATTCTAATAATGTTTGTACCATTGGAATATTGCGTATTAACAATAAATAAATATTTTCATATATACTGTGATCAGAACGAAAAAAGGAAAAATAAAATTATTTGAAAAACTGTATATGATTTAGATGAAATTTGAATAAAAATATTTTATTTTATATTTTATTCAGTTTAAATTTTGTTGAAGAGAGAAAGAGAGTTTAATATTTTACATCGTAAATTGCATATTGGATAAAGTGTAAAATAGTTTTTTATAAGATTACCCGGTATATAAAAAGTCTTTGTTTATTTCAATGCGAAGGATAAAAGCATCGATTGATCAACCGACTTATACATTTTGTTAAAATATATAATAATAAATTTCATTTTTTGTTATATATCCAATCGATCCATCAATTTTTTATGAATTAATTTAAGCAGAAATAAAAAGAAATATAGTCGAAAATTGTGATAATAAGAAAATTAATTTATTTAAATTAAATTATAAATATATATATATTTCATATATATATTTAAATTAAATAAAAAAATAATAAAAATTAATTTATCGATTTATAAATTGAAAAATTAAATATATATCATCAAATATTAGAGACTAAATTAATAATTTTATATTTTTCATATCGAAATTAAATAAAAAATAATATATAAATTGTATTATCGATTTGTAAAAATTTCTTATAAGAATTTTATACAATTAATATATATATATATATATCAAAAAAATATGAACATAAAAAATAGTTATTTGTCGATTAAAGAATCAATAAATATACATAATTAGATATTCTGATATGAATAAGAACATTTTTTTTCTAACGATCTACAGCGTTGTAAGGTCTTTTCATTTTTACCTCTCACGTAGTACTTTTCTTAATGATACGACATTTTGTAATGTTTTACAGCGCGCCAAGTCCTTGATGGTGAAATGGTATATAAGGCGAGTAGCTACAGTTGTTCAGGTTAGCCCCAACATTTTTAATCGACTTGAAAATGTCGTTGAGATCGTTCAGTCTCGTCTTCACAGTCGCGGCCGTGTATTTCTTCGTTTTCGTTGCCGGTCAAGAACAACTTAAACTTCGTAAGTGAATAAACACACACATACACATACAAACATATAAATACAATATTATTTTTATTTATTTTTCATTGAGTAATTTTATTTATTTATTTATTTATTTATTTATTTATCGATTAATTTGATATTCTATAGATCATTTTTTCACGATGTGACAAATGACCTTACAATTTATTTTCCTTTTATTTATTTTTGTTTTATTTTAATATCAATTATTTTTTAATTATTTAGATTGAAATTGTCGTTACAATTGTTTTTTTTTTTTGGTATTTCTTTTTTTCCAATTAAACATTTTCTGTTCCGTTTGTTTCTTTTCGAAGTCATCAAATGTAATTTTTTTTTATTTATTAACATTTTATTATCATAATTATTCTAATAACATTTAATCGTTAATGAAGTGTTAATTTACAAGAATAAAAAAATATATGCGTCACGCAAGAATATTTGTGTATCTACGTGAAATACAATAAAGAAAACAATTATAATATTTTTTTAAGTAGTACTCGGTTGGACTTTATTTTGCATATGCTTTTTGATGATTAGACATATTTTCATAGAATAAACCTTTTATAATAATTTTGTACTCTTATCTTTTCTTATTATTTTATAAATATTTTATTGAATTATTATCAAAAATGTAATTTATCTCTAATTATTATAAACATCAATTTAATTATTATTCTTTCGAAGAATAATTATGACGATTAATAAATCGAATTTGTAGCTGCTGAAATAAAAACATGTAAAAGAGATGCAGATGATTTCTCATCCTGTTTGAGATTGGCTCTTCAAGAATCATGGCCATTATTTGTCAAAGGTAAATAAAAGATTCTTTTTTTTTCTTCAATTTGTTTTCTCTTACCATATAAAACAAAATATATATAACATAAATAAATGTTTAATTCTATAAAATTGTAATTTTAGGTATTCCCGAGTTTGGTATGCCTCAATTAGATCCATTCTACGACAAATACGGAGAATTTGAATTTGGAAGTAATGAATTCCATGGGAAAATAATTACTAAGGATATTTATTATTATGGTTTCAAGAATATGAAATTTTTGGCCGTCAGACCTGAATACACTGGTGATAGATTTAAATTAGAAGTCGACATTGAGATGCCTAAAGGTCTTGCCGAAGGAAATTTTATTGTTAATGCTAATTTGATCAATTTCAAACTCAATGGAGAAGGTAAATTTCAATTATTCAATAAACGAATATTTTTCAATAAAAATAACTTACAAAAATTAATCAATCAGGATAATATAAAAATTCGATAATTATCTTTATTTTTATTTCTAACAAATCTACATTTGATATTGATCTAATCGAATTATTTTCAAATACGTTGGATTAGTTTCATTTTAGATATATAAATTTATATAACAAAAAAAGAAATATATATATGATCAGTTATAATTTTGATTTCATTGAGAATCATAAATTTCGAAAATAAAAAAATCGTAGAGAGAAACTTTTTTAAAAATATAAACAATATAAACTTAATTACACATATTATATAAATGATATTAAAAATAATTCTAATACTTATTATTTCCATTGTTAGGTCCTTTTAATGTTAGCGCAGAAGATATAAAAGTAACCTGGTTTATAAATGGTCCTGTTAAAAATGATAGATGGATAATTGAAGAGTATCGTCCAAGACCTACAATACGTAAATTAAAAGTATGGGCAGAAAATCTCTTTAATGGCAATCCTGAATTAAGTAAGTATTGTTATTATGCTTATTTTTTTTGTAAATTATTCTATGCAATTTTGTATCATTATTATTATATTACTATTATTAATATTATTTTTAATTTTTATAATTTCCTCAGCTCATCTCTTTTTTTGTATATCAATATTATTATTATTTATTTATTTTCAGCCCAAATTGCTTTGAGTTTCATGAATGAATTTTGGCCAACTTTATACCGTGGAATGATTCCATTCGTAGAAGAAGTATGGAGCAAAAAATACTCACCAATATTAAATAATTTCTTTTCCAAACTTTCTTTCAACGAAGTCTTTCCTACTTCATAAAGAAACACACAAACATACAAACTTTGTTTCTAAAATTATTAAATTTAAGAAGTAATATTTCTAAAGTTTTTTTTTTATAATAATAATAGTCGTACAAGTAGTAAAAATGAATGTCTTCGTGAACCTAAGAACGTAAGAATTGCCGGTAGAAATAAAACAAATTTTTTTTTAAGAATTTTATGCACACTCGTATGAAGGTAATGAAATTTCTATTGTATGTATTTATTTATGTTCGTTAGTTATTTTCTTTTTAATAAATGAAAATAATGACAGGAGAAAGTATCTCTCTCTTTATTATTATCTATATATTTAAATAATATATATATATATTTTATATTATATATTATAGACATTTTTATATATACTGTGAAGGTAAAAGTGAGTACTATCTTACACCTTATTATACTGAAGTATCCAAATGTAAATGTTTACTTAATTATGATCAACGTTATCCTCATAGAATATTCTTCACATTATTAAGTCTAAAAAACGTTTCATTAGAATATTATAAAAAGGAGAAAAAAAAGTGGTATAAAATTATTCATGAATTATTATTATTATTTCTTTTTCTCTCTTTGTTTCAAATCTTTCTAAAAAAAAAAATTAATTTCACATCTCTTAATAATCTTCTTCCTCTGTTATTTTTTTTTTTCTTTTGATTATCACCGATAAAAGAATAATAATTATAAAAATAATTTAAAAGAATGTGTTTAAAATTTTTTAGAAAAATTATTAAAATAAAAAAATAAATATATCGAATAATAAAAATAATTTATACAAGATTTTTTCATGAAAAATTTCTAGAAAATGTTCAAAGATATACTATATACAAAAAAAAAATTATTATAAAATAATATCGTTCCTTTTTTTTTTATGAGGGATGGGTTTGTTTTTCTATACAAATATTACGAAAGAAAAAAAGAAAAAAAAATATGAAATATTAGAAAATAAAAAGATTGTTTCAAGGTAATAAGAATGTCTCGACAGGTACATGACGTAACAGCTGATTGACAATTCCTGCAAATAAAACTGATAGTTTTCTTTTCAATTGTGGCTCCATAGCTTTCAAAACTTCCTGTCCATTTTCTCGCAAGAATAAATTGGTTGCCTCAGCTGTAAAAACGATACAAAAATCATGATTATTCATTTACTCATTCATAAAATAAAAATTTAAAAAAAGTATTTAATAATTATTTACTTATTTCAAATTTATTTGGAAAAAAAAGAAATATAAAACAAAATATGATAGTGGAATTATTTAAACAATTACTTATTATTTGATTTATTATAAAAAAAAAAAAAAAATTAAAATAAGAATTTGATGATAAAATTATTTCGGAAAATAATTAATTCATTGATAATAAAAATTTGTTTAATGAGTTTATGATAATTATTATACTTACTTAATATTCTACTGTTTGTAAAAATTTTCTTTACTCTCATATTAACATTTTTTACGCCTAAATCAACGTCCAATTTATCAACATGAAGGTAAGTTTTATCGTCACGAGTTGTTGTTGATACGTCACCCTTGACAAGGGCTCGAACGTCATCGAAACGTGCAAAGAAAGTACCATTTCCACTTGCTGGTAAAATGATCAGTACACCAGAACTATAACATGAATATATCGATTTGTTAACACATTGCGTACGGGTCACGAGATATCTCGTTTTCATGATTTAATTAATGATGGAATCAAAATTTGATTTTCTTATTACTAACGTAATAAGAAAACACCA